AAGAATGCTCCAACTACCATACAATTGCACTCATTTGACATGCTAGCAAGGTTATGCTCAAAATCCTCCAAGGTAGGCTTTAGCAGTAGGTGGACCGAGAACTCCCGGAAGTACAAGCTGGATTTCGAAGGGGTAACGTGCTCTGAATGGAGGACTTGGAACAGCGTCTAGTGTGGCTGACAAGGTCAATTCAAGAGTGACAATCCCTTCCACACTGAAGACAAATTCATTCTGTCCCCTGTCCAGTTCCCTGGTTTTGCTGGTTTCAGGACGGCCTCTTTGCCTTGGCCTGCTGGACAAGAGTCTCTTCAAATTGGGAGAGGCCATGATGCAACGCTTGCCTTTAGGCTGAACGTTTCAGGTCCCACACAATAAGATAAACATTAAAAAATAAATTAAACAAACTATGATTTAAAATTGGATGCAATGCCTGCCTCTAGGCTGAACGCTTCAGGTCCCGCACAATAAGATAAACATTAAAAATAAATTAAACAAACCTTGATTTAAAATTGAATTAAAATATTAAAACATTTAAACATGGAAATATTAAAATGATTTGCTGAAATGGGGTTCAGGGATTCAGGTGTAATTCTTAAAATCCTGACTGAAGAGCTTTTTTTGGAAGTATAACAGGAAAGAGACCCTCCTGATCTCCCAAGGGAGAGCGTTCCATAGTCTGGGAGCTGCCACTGAGAAGGCCCTCCCCCGGGTGTCCCCATCAGCTGGGCTTCTGCTGGCAAAGGGACCAAGAGGAAGGTCTCCTCTGCTGCTCTTAATTGCCAAGAAGACGCATATAGGGAGATATGGTCCTTCAGGTAGCCTGGACCCCAGCTGTATAGGGCTTTATAGGAAATGACCAGAGCTTTGAATTGAAAATATTAAAAACATTAAAAGGGAAAAGAATCCAGAAAAACTATTTTCACATGTATTACCAGAACTGGCCATTAGAGGGAGGCAGAGACCACACTATGAATACTTGTTAATGAAGAATACATGGCATGGTCTCTGTTACCCTCTAGTGGCCAGTTCTGGTAATGCATGTAAAAATAATTTTCTGTGGTTTTTCCTCTTACTATGCTATATAGTGTTTGCTATTATCCATGGTTTTCAGTATCCATGGAGGGTTTCGAAACTACCCCTAGCAGATGTGGGGTCCCTGCTGTAATCCCTTGCATGCTTCTCGCTCTTACAAAGTCCATGGAACAAAGTACTACTGTTGTCATCTTGCACTATTTGCACTAAAGTGTTCTTTACACTTTTTTTTCTCAACTTG